ACTCTGCTCACAGCCCTCTGCATCTCCGTCCTCTCCTCTTGCTAGGCTACTTCAACAAAGCCTGCTGTGTGGGAGCACGCCCCGGCGTAACCTCCCCACATAGACCGTCGCAACCCATCAAACTACCGACCAATCAGTCTCACCTCTAAAATTTCGAAACTCTTTGAAAAGTCTCTCCAAAATAATCCCCATCTTTATAAATTCCTTTGCCTCCTCCCTTGCGCGCCTTCAGTTTCGGTTCCAGTAACATGGTAACATGAACGATCGGATTCTGTGAATCGTCATCATAGGTAATGGTCGACATATGCATCCAAACTTAGGAGGATTAACTGTTAGTCCTAATTAACCCTAATTAGTTTAATGTTTAATCCTCCTAGATCCAAACCAACGATTCCCTCCATCGCCCATCATCCACGCCACCATGGACGTGCAGAAGGCTTCCGACATTGTCTGCAAGGTCGGATCCGTTTAAAGTTCCTTATTAAGTTACTTACCACTAACCATCACATTTTGATCTGGAAATGTAGTGGAAATGTACGGTAGTTAGTCCTTAGATGGGTCTCGGTCTGCCTTATCCTTGGTCGTTGCACCTCCCACGTTCGCTGTGGAGCCCTTTCCACCCCATTCACTCTTCAGAATGGAAAAATGAAATTCAAATAAAGACAATGCATTTTTGCAAATAGTTTTTCAATGTTGTAGGCTTATTTTATGTAAGAATAAATTCCTGTTTAATTCTTCATAAGATAGTTATGAAATTGGATTCGAATTTGTTAACTATCCTTAACTCCGTTAAATGCAAGCTGGTTAGTCAAAGGGTAGTTATTTAATTTTCTTATAAAAAAAAATTATATCCTATGCAAATACCCAGATCAAACTAAACCTAACAATAGGCCTACCTAATTAGGTTTGAAGGCTCCGGCAGTTCATTGATTTTTATTTTGACCGAAAACAGGGTATGTAGTAATCAGTAATCGAAATAATACAGAAAAGTAACTTAAATTAGGCATTTAAATATTTTAGTTTTTCATTGACAAAAGAGATTTAACTTAACTGTTTATAGGTAGTTGTACTTTTTATTAATTGGAACAGGTTTTGTTTTTACATTTTGTTTTGTTTACAAGACTATTTTTCTTGTCATGTCAATAAAGTTTACTTATATCGCGACTTGTGCAAGCTGTTATCGGAAAGGTCTTGTGTCCTTGACTGTAGATACCAAATTGCCTAAGTGACCTAACAATTAATTTATTGTGTGATGAAATTCTAAAATAATTTGCATATCTTATTAATGTTATGTATATGTTAGTTCTTTCATTAATGTTTTAGTGAAAGAACTGGCAATGGATTTTGATACTGCAAACAGACTAACTACTCTATCATCATGATGGTTTGCCTTATTATTCGGAACTATGGTTTACTATGTATGACCATAGACAAAAGAATTTAATATTGACTGTCAGTGGTACTGCGGTTACCATGGTTACCATAGGTTCTGGCGCACACCACTGGGAGTGCCGTGCAGTTACGTAGCGCTAACGCCGTAACTACATGGCACTCCCAGCGGTGTGCGCCAGAACATATGGTACCGCAGCACAGCTGATGGTCTATATTTAATTATTTTTGTCTTTGGTATACAATCGCTTGAGTATATCAATTCTGGTGGCATGTTTCAGGTAAATTTAAAGTTTCTCATCAGCTTTACTACTGGGATTTAGTCGAAACAAGTAGTTGTAGTTTTGAAGTAGTAATAATACATAAATAAAGTGTCTTAAATAGTCTGTTAAAATAATAAATGCACTCGCACTCTAGCTTTAATGGACAAAAACATACATGAGAATTAAAATTGTCTTCCACTGATCCATTTGTTTCTTGAAAGTGAGTTTGATATGTGTAATATATGTTTATATTAATTGTACAAGAAGCAGCATTTGATTTTATAATGTTGGTTGGATTCCAGATGTTAAAGACTTTTGTTTTGTTCTGATTGTTAATTTTGTAAATAACAATAATTATTGAGTTGTGATTGAAATGGAGAATAAATTGAATACACTAGATTTTATCTTGTTCTTATAAAATATTACAATGGCGCAGTCGAATTAAACGGACCTCGTTCCGAGTGATAGTAAGTCTAGTAAAAGTAAAGTTTTTTTTTTTTTATACCAGATTCTGAAGAAGATAAATCTAAACTTCAAGAAAAAAAAAAGGGAGGTAAACTTAAAGACTAAGATGGCAGGAATAGGTAAAGTTGGTGAATTTAACCCACAAGATGAGTCCATTGAATCATATGCAATGAGGCTTAAGCATTATTTCAAAGCTAATGAGATTGATGACGATACCAAAGTTTCTGTTTTAATAACTGTTGTAGGCCCAAAAGTTTTAACAATTTTGTCTGATTTAGTTTCACCTGCAGCTGTAGATAGCAAAAGTTATGAAGAGTTAGTTAAAGTGCTTGAGAACTATTTTTCTCCAAAGAAATTGGTGGTAGCTGAGAGATATACTTTTTATTCTCGTGTGCAAAAACCTAGTGAGAGTATTTCAGAGTTTGTTGTAGCGATTAAACATTTAGCTAGTTCATGTAAATTTGGCACATTCTTAAAAGAGGCTCTTAGAGACAAGCTTATTTCAGGGATAAGTAATGAGGTCATAAGGCAAAAATTATTGTTTGAGGATCAAGAATTTGATGACGCTTATAGTTTGGCACTCAGATTAGAGCAGGCTGAAAAACAGACAAGTTTGTTCAATCCAAAACAGGAAATTTGTCATTTAAATTCCAAGCCCAATTCTTCACATGTGAATCAAAATAGGCAGACTGGTTGTCATTTCAATTCAGCTATTGGTGCTGGTATGACTAATATTAATGCTAAATTTAAGTGTTACAGATGTTGTTCAGTTGAACATAGGGCCAATGAATGTCCATATGCAAATTATAAGTGCAATGGGTGCAACATGGTTGGGCATCTACTAAAAGCTTGCCGAAACCAAAGTAAAGTTGCAAAATTTGGAAGGAAGGACAAGTCAGGTGCTAATAGAGTCCATCAAATCTCCGAAGATGATGTCAATGAGCTTAGCTCAAGCTGCTATGAAGTTTCAAATAATGTGTGTTTGTACAACTTTGGATTAAACACAGGTATGGCAGCTTACAAGGTAAGGCTAACTATAGAGAAAGTTCTGTTGGAGATGGAAATTGACAGCGGCTCAGCTGTATCAGTTTGTCCTTCAGACGTTTTTAATGAACATTTTTCTCATATTGAATTAAAGCCTGTTTCTATGAAATTGCGAACTTACACAGGTGGTGACGTGCCTGTTCTAGGTCAAGCTGAGGTTAGAGTTTTATATAAAAACCAGAACCTAGTGTTACCACTATTGATTGTTGAGGTTTGTCGTAAAGACCAGCCTATTTTGCTTGGAAGGAACTGGTTAGCAAAATTAAAGTTGGATTGGCATGCTGTATTTTCAAGATCGTATGATACTACTGGTACTAAATCTAAGTCTACAGTGAATGTTACCACATGTGAATTGAAGCAATCTAATTGTGAAGTTGTGTTGCCTAAGGGCAAACTTGAGGCTGAAGTAGAGGCGTTAAAGAAAAAGTACAATGCAGTGTTTCAAGGGGGCCAGGAGAAATAAAAGGTGTTAAGGCTCAAGTCACTCTCAAGGACAATGCTGTTCCTAAGTTTTGCAAATTTAGGCCTGTGCCTTACTCGTTAAGGGAAAAAGTAGAACAAGAATTAGATCGGTGGGTTGAGGATGTACAGAGTTTCTAGTTCAGAATGGGCTACTCCGTTAGTTACAGTGCCCAAGACTAATGGTGTCCGATTGTGCGCAGACTTCAAAGTAACATTGAATCCGGTGTTACAGACGGAACATTATCCATTACCTCAACCTGAGGATATATTTGCTTCTCTGTCTGGTTGTACATATTTTTCAGTTGTGGATCTCACTAATGCTTATCAACAATTAGCTGTTGCGGAGGATTCACAACATCTGTTGACGTTAACAACTCACAAGGGACTAATTCGACTAAGACGTCTGCCATTTGGACTTTCTTCAGCTCCAGCTATATTTCAAGCTGTGATCGATCAAATTATAAACGGATTACCAGGTACTGTAGCCTATTTAGATGATGTTTTGGTTGGCGGCTCAACAAGAGAGGAAGCCTTTTATAGATTGGAGAAATTGTTACAGCGTCTTATGGAATTTGGAGTACAAGTTAATGGGAGTAAATGCAAGTTCTTACAGCCTGAAGTGGAATATTTAGGCTACGTCATTTCAGCATCAGGAGTCAGTCCACAACAAGGTATTGTTGAAGCTATTCAAAAAGCTCCCGAACCTACTAGTAAAGACGAGCTAAGGGCTTATGTTGGTTTAATAAACTATTATGGAAAATTTATTCAAAACTTGTCTGCTAAAATTCATTGTTTTTATGAACTGTTAAAGAAAGATGTTCCATGGAAATGGACCGAGCAATGTTCTCAAACATTCAAAGAAAGTAAATCTTGGGTTCTGTGTTCTGATGTTTTAGTACACTATGATGTCTTGAAACCTTTAGTGCTCACTTGTGATGCTAGTCCTAAAGGAGTTTCTGCCATTTTGTCCCATATCATAAACGGAGAAGAAAGACCTATAGCGTTTGCATCAAAAACACTGAGTGCCAGTGAGAAGAACTATTCACAGCTCCACAAGGAGGCGTTGGCACTGATCTTTGGAGTGAAGAAATTCCATAAATACATTTATGGGCGTACCAATTGTATTTTACAAAGTGATCATCAGCCACTAGCAGCTATTTTTGGATCGAAGCGAGGGGTGCCTAGTTTAGCTGCTGCTCGCCTACAACGATGGGCCCTGATTTTGTCTGCCTACAATTTTGAGGTAAAATATCGGAAGGGTTCCAGTTTTCCAGTTTGCCTCACGCTGATGCGTTGTCACGCTTACCACTACCCGAGAATGAAACTTTGGAGTTGGATGAAAATTATATATCTCATGTGGAATCTTGTGTAAGAGAAATGAACTTCTTCAATTCGGGGAGTGACGATTCTCCAATCACTTCTTTAGAGATAGGACAATTGACTGATAAAGACCCACTGTTGTCTAAAGTTCGGGATTTTGTGTTGTATGGGTGGCGTGAAATTGTAGACCCAATGTTAATTCCATTTCAGAGAAGGAGAGATGAATTGTCAGTGGATAAAAATTGCATTTTATGGGGCAGTAGAGTAGTCATACCTAAGAAATTGCAAGGTAAAGTCATCCAGATATTGCATGAACAACATCCTGGAATTACTCGAATGAAATTGTTGGCACGCAGCCACGTGTGGTGGCCTGGGATCGAAAAAGTAATTGAGGATGCTGTGTCATCTTGTTTGATTTGTCAAAGTACAAGAAATGCTGCTTCAAAAGTTCCATTGCAGCAATGGCCGTTAACTTCCGAGAGATGGCGCCGAATTCATATCGATTTTGCTGAAGATCCAACCACCAGACAGCAAATGTTGATTGTAGTGGATAGTTTTTCAAAGTGGATGGAAGTATTTTTAATGGGTTCTATTTCCACGGGGAAGACCATTGAGAAACTTCGTACACTATTTTCTGCTTATGGTTTATCTGAGGAGTTGGTGTGTGACAACGGCACGTCTTTTACCAGCCTAGAATTCAGGGAGTTTCTTAGAAAAAATGGTGTGAAACTAACATTTTCTCCACCATATCACCCTGCCTCCAATGGAGCAGCCGAGCGTTCTGTTCAAGAAGTTAAGAAAAGTTTGTTAAGGCAAGTTTTGGGTGAAAAATCATCTCAGCAGACATCACTGCAGTATAAATTGGATAACTTTCTTTTCGCATATCGTAATACTCCATCGTCAGTAACCGGTGTGAGCCCGGCTGAACTGTTCTTACGTTGGAAACCTCGAACAAAATTGACTATGTTAAAACCTAATCTACTAGACGAGTCAAGGAAGAAGCAGGAAATGCAGAAACGAGCCTCAGATAGGCATAGAGGTGCGTGTAGATTTTTTAATGAAAATCAGAAGGTGTGGGTTAAAACAGTCAGACAGGAGAAAGTTAGTTGGGTTCCAGGTCGTATATTACAGTGTAAAAGTCCAGTTACTTATTTGGTTAGTGTTCTTGGCAAAACAAGAGTTTGCCATGCAGACCATCTTAGACCAACTGAGGTAGAGGAGGACGAAATCATTGTGCGGAAAGAGGAAGTTGGAAGGACTATTGAGGCACATCATCAAGAATTCAATAGAGATTTGCCTATTCTTCAGGAGTCTACATCACCATCAATATCAAGACATGATGCTTCACCTTATTTGCCTAGATTGAAGTCTGATGTTGGGAAACCACGGGGTGTGCAATACAGTCCATCTACAGTTTTGAGGAGATCAAAAAGGACTGTGCACAAGCCGGAGAAATTGGATCTATAAAGTTGGAGAAGCCAAAGAGTCAGAAGAAATTTTAAAGTTTTAAAGTATTATGAGCCAAGCAAATTTTAAGTGTTGGCGAGTGTAATATATGTTTATATTAATTGTACAAGAAGCAGCATTTGATTTTATAATGTTGGTTGGATTCCAGATGTTAAAGACTTTTGTTTTGTTCTGATTGTTAATTTTGTAAATAACAATAATTATTGAGTTGTGATTGAAATGGAGAATAAATTGAATACACTAGATTTTATCTTGTTCTTATAAAATATTACAATATGGTAAATGCGGGTCGCCGGAATTTTACCCCCTGGGCAATGCTGACGTCACTATGACGTAGTAACCTGAGTGGCCAAAAGTTTGTTCGCGGCCGGAATTTTACCCCCTGGGCAATGCTGACGTCACTATGACGTAGTAACCTGAGTGGCCAAAAGTTTTTTCGCGACCGGAATTTTACCCCCTGGGCAATGCTGACGTCACTATGACGTAGTAACCTGAGTGGCCAAAAGTTTGTTCGCGGCCGGAATTTTACCCCCGCGGATTTGGAAGTCTAATGAAAATAGTCAGAGCGTGATTAATTAGATTAGCGATAAAAACCGGAATTTTACCCCCTGTCCATATAACTAGCGTTTAGACAACTGAAGATGTACGGGCCGGATTTTTACCCCCGGAATTTTACCCCCGGATTTTTACCCCCCGGAATTTTACCCCCAGAATTTTACCCCCAGATTTTTACCCCCCGGAATTTTACCCCCAGAATTTTACCCCCTAATTTTTACCCCCCGGAATTTTACCCCCTGGCCGATTTTAGAAATTGAATGATTGATTTTCTTATTTCTGTTTTTAATTAATTGTAAACATGCCATTATTTAGTAGCCTATCTTTATTAATTTATTTTGTAATCTCAACTAAGTAAACAGAATTCGCTGTTTTATTTTGATCATATTAACCAACAGTTGGCTTCAAAGATCAAATCCTGACACTCGAATCTCAAAATTAAAAACCTGATCGATTAGTTAACGTTACAAATAAATTAAGATAGGCTACTTAATAATAAAATGTTAACTATTAAATTAAAACTGAATGAAGAAAATTAATCATTCTCACTAATTTATATATCTGGCCAGGGGGTAAAATTCCGGGGGTAAAAATCCGGGCCGTACATTCTAGGTTTTTATAATTTGATTTGTTCTGATTAAATTCACAACCGTGAAAATATATATTTAATTCCGCGTTTAATCGATCAAGCTGATGTCGCGAAACTCAAAAGTTCGCGGCCGGAATTTTACCCCCTGGTTTGTGACGTCACGTTTGCCCAGGGGGTAAAATTCCAGGGGGATAAAAATCCGCTACCCTGTAAATGCTAGGCTAGGCTTGGTCACCAGGTGTGCTTGTATGTTTGTATGCTTGCACAAAGATCTCGAAAACGGCTTTGACGATTTCCTTCAAATGTTGTTAATAATAATTTATTTCTAGCCTAAAATGAGTTTTCTGCAATTAAAACTGCCAACAAAAATCTAACTACGTCTATTTAGTACCTTAAACCAAAAATAGTAGGCTACCTCTACCTGTACCTGTAATAAGTTATGAAAATGCTTGAATTTGGTCTTCTTTTAGCACCTATTTCGTTCAATTTAGTACCTTCAATAAAAACGATCGTGCCTCTCATTGAATTTTTTGACCATGTCCTTGTGTTTGAATTCGATCAAACGACCTGTGTACTAAATTTTGGCATAATTCGTTTGTACAAATTTTGTAATCCCCTAGCCAGTGACAAGGTCGTCTCTATAGGTGATGTCTATCTTGTGTATTCTAAGGTCTATGCTTTAGCATAAAAGAACATCCTTATAACCTTAGTACTGTAACTATTTATTAAATTTAAAAAATAGATGGATTGTAATTTCTGCGCTCGAGCCTTTGAACGGCAACAACTGATCTTAGATGTACTGCACAGTTAGTGTCTCAGTTATTGAATGTTAACATTGTAGTTAGTGTTCATGCCGTGCATCTGTACCGGAGTTTCGTTAATGACTTATTGTATTGTGCATTTGTTATGGTTGGTCAGGTCAAACAAAAGTATAAAAATAGTCAATTTTATTACTATAGTCAGTGTCAAAATTTTGGCGGTTTTAGAGGAGGTCCCTCTACCACTTTTTCTGTCTATTTTTCAGCTGATTGCCGTTTTGACAAAATATCAGTTCTCAGCTGTTGTCTGTTGAGCTAAAGCTATGTTAGGATCAAGCAAGGCCACATTAAAAAAACTTTTTTTTAATGTGGCCTTGGATCAAGACGTGGAGGGAATAGATAAAAAAAATCGCATACAACATTTTGTAAACGGAGTATACATAAATTTTGATTGTTCAAGAATTAATAATTTATGCATGTTTTCTGAGGAGCTAGGTAAAATTATGACAAAGTATTAAAACTGTTAACTATTCAAAACTATCCTTTTTTGAGTCTCATGTACAACTTCAGAGGCAACAGTGCTATGGGAATGGAGGGAAACAGGTCCATGACGTAGGAAATGGTGTAGGACGTAGTAAAGTAAAGGCGAGCCGTGTGGAGTTTGGGAGTGGATTTATGTATCTCCAATACTAAGACTGCTTTCAGAGTGAACTGACGATTTTTTCCGAGCAAAGCTCGGTCCCCAGGTACTAGCTATTATTTATGGTAGCTATAAATAATAAATATGGTATAAATATTATATAATTTCTTGATCAGCATTGTACGTGTTATTAAATTTGCGGAAAGTAAATATTATATATGGCTAAAACAGTTGGTAACAGAACTTGGATCTTGATTAGGCCTAAAAGGGACATTTTATTTTAATCGTAGATTTTGGAAATTGAATCAAGCAGACTTCTTATCCTAGAAACCTGTTTTGTTGATAAGTTTGCAGTAACCTATTTGGGCTTATTATATCTTAAATATACAAAAACAGCAAATACAGTTTTTTTGTGTAGGGCTATGCTAAAATGACAGCAAAATACATCATGGGTTTGACAATTCATTGGTCGATATAAAGTCAATGGAATTTAGGGAAAACGTGCCCACCTATCTGAATTTCCCATCCATCTACACAAGCAGTTTAGTGATGGTAGTTTGCGCAATCGCCGCTTGAGTCGCTAGCACCATTGACTATTCATAGTCAATGCTAGCACCCAGGCTCGCAACAGTTCGCTACGTGACCACCAGGTGTCTCTTATATCGACTTTATAATCCACCATCGTATGTTTTTTATCAATAAGTTAAAATACAAAAAGTTAAAAGTATTATTTACACAAGTAAATGAGTAATTTAGTTAAAAAACCAAAACTTTTATTGTTTGAAGCCGTTGTAGCTAACTTAGAGACCTCTGTATCTATTGACACTCGCAGCGCTCTTTAGTAGGTCATACCACAGAAAACGTACTACTATACCCAGAATGCCAACCGCATGGTAAAAAGCATTAAGCGGTTTGAGAGAGCTTTGCCTGTCAATCCGTAGGCAGCGCCACCAGCGTTGCCATGCTTGCTTATAGTAGTACGTTTTATGTGGTCATACAGAGACTACCCTAATTAGCTCTGCCTACAACCATGGCCTTATGGGTTGATACCAAAAACAAAACAGAGTAAACTGTTTACGCTCATAATTATTGTTTGAAAAGCCAAGAGTCGCTTCTCTGACCTGAGTTCGACGATAGGCTTACATGAAATGACTCGCAGACATTGTTCATTGTATCAAATAATGTTTACATTCGGGCGAGTGACTAGACACAGTGGCGTATCCAGGGAGGGGGCCCAAGGGGGCCGGGCCCCCCCCGAAATTTTTTTTTTAGTTACCCTGTACTCAGTACCGTGTGCCGTGTACACGGGAGCGTTGCAATGCGCGTTCTAGAAACAGTCAAATGAGTGCGTACACACTACACAATACGTGTTGTTATTGTATAAAATGCCGGATTACTGGAATGTTATCAATAAAAACACATAAAAATGCAATTAAAACACGTCTCCGAAGATCACGCGATCTGAAACCGCTATTGCCGCGATCGGGCATGACGACGATGACGCGTGACCGCGGGAGACGATGATAACGTGTACACGTCCGCGGGAGATGTTCGTGATTTTGACGCGATCGCGCATGACGACGATGACGTTTCCGTGACCGTGGGAGATGTTTATGATTTTGCCGCGATCGCGCAGGTCGACGATGACGTTTCTGTGACTGCGGGAGTAGACAATGATGTTTACATAGCCGCGGGAAATGATAAAATCTTTGCCGCGACCGTGAAAGACCACGATAATGTCTACATGACCGCGGCCCGCGGGAGATGTTCATGATTTAGCCGTGATCGCGCAAGTCGACGATGACGTTTCTGTGACTGCGGGAGTAGACAATGACGTTTACATGGCCGCGGGAGATGTTCATGATTTTGCCACGATCACACAAGACGACGATGGCGTTTCCGTGACCGCGGGAGTAGACAATGATGTTTACACGGCCGCGGGAGATGATACAATATTTTGCCACGACCGGGGAAGACAACGATAATGTCTACATGACCGCGGGAGATGTTCATGATTTAGCCGTGATCGCGCAAGTCGACGATGACGTTTCTGTGACTGCGGGAGTAGACAATGACGTTTACATGGCCGCGGGAGATGTTCATGATTTTGCCACGATCGCGCAAGACGACGATGACGTTTTCATGACCGCCGGAGAGAATGATGATACCTACACGGCCGCGGGAGATAATCAGAATTTTGCCGCGACCGCGGAAGACCTCCCGCCAAAAGACGCCGGATTACTGGAGTGCCGGAGTGGTACAGTGCCGATTATATAGGGTCTTCTGTACAATGTTTTATAATTAAAAAAATGACGGTAGCTGGTACATATAGTGTCTTCTTCAGTATCCAATAGTCATTGCGTGTACATTACATATTTTTGGGTCGAGTTTTCGATCACTGGACGACCACTAGTATGCTTTATTCTATAAGTTGAGTGTAGTTTTGTTAGCTTGATTT